AACCACAGGTTTGCACAGTTCGATACGTGTTAAGGCCTCGTGCTATATCTGGACTATTGCCGACAGCTGCGGAAAAACACCACACCACGTGACACGCCTTGTATACCCTGAGCATTCCGTGACATTGCGTCACACGAATAACCCGAGACTGTGTGAGCTGACATGCACTTCTGTGACACTGAAATCCCGTGTCATGAAATGACCTGGGGATGCGTGACTTGAAATGACTGTGATTGTGTGACCTGACAGCACGTGACATTGTTTGCCATGACGTGACGTGGGAATGTTTGACATAACGTGAACGCGTCACCGTCGTGTGGAACGTAATATACAAACATGCCAATACCTGTCACGTCTGTTTTCGTCTGCAATATTTCACATGTTTCATGTATGCTAGTCCCTTGCAGTATAAATCACAATTTCATTACTCAAAAAATATAAAATAGCCTTAAAACTAAAATCATGTAATCACGCCATGATTCTTCACTAAAATGTAACATTCAAGTTTCTTTCATATTAACGGAACCACGATACCATTCAAACACATCAAAAGGAAATATCCCAACCGCAATATGTACAACGGCTCTCGACAGTTCTGCCACAGTGTTCCTGTCACATGCCTTTTTTTCATCAAAATCGATAAAATGTTCCAATATGGCACTTTAATAAAATGCGACAAACTGTATTAAAGCAATCGATCGTTTAACGTACACATATGACCTCAGGTTGTTATCCGTTTACGTCAACTTATCCTCCTGCTATTGGAGTTAAGAAATGACATCCTAAATAGTTATTGACTAACTGTCCATCTGGCAGACGTCTCATCAATATCAACACCCACGTAGCAACGTTATTTTGGCGGTAAGGAAAAAGACTACTTTTAGAAAAAGTGAAAATAATTGCCCTTAGATTTGACTGTCGTCTAATGTTTTGGGATCAAAAGAAATTCAGGAGAGACACCGAAAGTACATCCACCATTTAGTTGAATAATACGTAATATGCCATAGATTTACACTATGGGCGCCCTATTTGTTCTTAAACGCAGTTGGGGTGGGGTAGCCTAGTGGTTAAAACGTTCGCCGAAATCCCGGGTTCGATTTAACATTTGGGTACAATGCGTGAAACCATTTCTGGTGTCCCCCGCCGTGATATTCCTGGAATATTGCAAAAAGCGGTGTAAGACTAAACTCTTTCACTGTTAGACACAGAATACAGAGTATCGGAGAACAGAACTAGTGATCACTTCATATCATTCAACACTGACCGAACTGCATGCGCCTAAACATTTCCAGAAACATCCTCTCGGTTTCAGTTCTAAACAATACACATTGCAGATATAATTATAGAAGCAAAGTTGTTCTCGGCCCTTACAGGCGGTATGTTTTAGAACATTGGTTGTACCTATGTACGAGTGCGGGGAGGGCCACTCGGAGCCTGTCTTTCTTAGACCCGGAGCATCTACCACATTGGCATTCAACTGTGGCCTGTGCTGGATAACCGAGAGTGCATTGACTTATAACAGCGATTGTTATGGTAAATTGCTTCTGCCACATAATTTAACTCATTGTATTGCTTTGTGTGATTGTAGACCGTATCCAGTGAATTTCAGTGGAATTTATTGATTTGTCATTGACTATTTAGTCATTTCACAGTTAAGTTCTCTACGTATCGATTCCCTGGCTAACCTTAGCGTTTCATGTTGTGAATCAACTCTGAACAACAGTAGATTGCAAACCCTCATATGACATAATACTTGGCATTGTAAACTACAAATTCTTAGAATTATAACTCGGCACAGTAGATTATATAACAGATGATTCAATACTGGGAAATACTAAATTACAGTCCCTGTGATTCAATGCTTGTCGTAATACATCACAAACCTTCAGATTTGATAGCTTCCATAATAAATTACAGTCCCTGTGATTCAATGCTTGTCGTAATACATCACAAACCTTCAGATTTGATACCTTCCATAATAAATTACAGTCCCTGTGATTCAATGCTTGTCGTAATACATCACAAACCTTCAGATTTGATACCTTCCATAATAAATTACAGTCCCTGTGATTCAATGCTTGTCGTAATACATCACAAACCTTCAGATTTGATACCTTCCATAGTAAATTACAGTCCCTGTGATTCAATGCTTGTCGTAATACATCACAAACCTTCAGATTTGATACCTTCCATAATAAATTACAGTCCCTGTGATTCAATGCTTGTCGTAATACATCACAAACCTTCAGATTTGATACCTTCCATAGTAAATTACAGTCCCTGTGATTCAATGCTTGTCGTAATACATCACAAACCTTCAGATTTGATACCTTCCATAGTAATTACAGTCCCTGTGATTCAATGCTTGTCGTAATACATCACAAACCTTCAGATTTGATACCTTCCATAATAAATTACAGTCCCTGTGATTCAATGCTTGTCGTAATACATCACAAACCTTCAGATTTGATACCTTCCATAGTAAATTACAGTCCCTGTGATTCAATGCTTGTCGTAATACATCACAAACCTTCAGATTCAGATTTGATACCTTCCATAATAAATTACAGTCCCTGTGATTCAATGCTTGTCGTAATACATCACAAACCTTCAGATTTGATACCTTCCATAATAAATTACAGTCCCTGTGATTCAATGCTTGTCGTAATACATCACAAACCTTCAGATTTGATACCTTCCATAATAAATTACAGTCCCTGTGATTCAATGCTTGTCGTAATACATCACAAACCTTCAGATTTGATACCTTCCATAATAAATTACAGTCCCTGTGATTCAATGCTTGTCGTAATACATCACAAACCTTCAGATTTGATACCTTCCATAATAAATTACAGTCCCTGTGATTCAATGCTTGTCGTAATACATCACAAACCTTCAGATTTGATACCTTCCATAATAAATTACAGTCCCTGTGATTCAATGCTTGTCGTAATACATCACAAACCTTCAGGTTTGATAATATTCAATGCTTGTCGTAATACATCCTTCCAATACATCACAAACCTTCAGATTTCATACCTTCCATAGTAAATTACAAACCCTGTGATTCAATGCTTGTCGTAATACATCACAAACCTTCAGATTTGATACCTTCCAATACATCACAACCCTTCAGATTTGATACCTTCCATAATAAATTACAAACCCTGTGATTCAATGTTTGCCATAATACATCACAGACCTTCTGATTTGATACCTTCCATAGTAAATTAGCCCGGAGATTCAAGCATAGCAGATCGCAGAACCTACAGATTCAATTGAAGACACAGTAGAAAGAAAACCTTCAGATTAAATATCAACCCCCACGTGCATTGTTCAGAATCAATATTTGGCACGGCAACTTAAAAGTCCTACCATACATTACCAGACATGGTAGATTACATAAATTCATTTCAGTACTACACACAGAGGATTACAAGCTGCCAGACTCAACACTAGGAATGGCATATTACCGAACCTCGGTTACAGTACTGCTAAAGTCGATTATAAATAGTTGGGCATAGCAATTAGCAGACCCTCTGATAGAATACAATGCATCTGCTGGTGTCGCCCGCTGTGGTATGTCATATTGACGTGCTCGGCGTGATGTGGCCATTCTCAATTACTCACTCACTCGTCTAAACGAATCAACACCCCTACGGGACCTTCGAGATTTTAGAAAAGTACCTGGACCTTGATCCAAACCCTACACTGGTGGGCAATAGCACGAACTAGATATAGGGTATAAACATCACAAAACAGTGTACAGAGAAGACATACAATAATAAACCAAAAACATCTGATCCGTTCTAGTTCAGCGTGTCAGTTAATGTGGAATGGTAAGTGTTGAACCATTCCACAAGCACCCATGTAGCTCATCTAGGAGTATCATCAGGGCGAATCTAGAATTCGAACCTACGATCAGCGGATACTGGCGTGTAAAAGGGCAACAACTGTGCACAACGAGACGTACAACAGGTCTCTTCTAAATGTGGCCATTGCAATTTGGAGACGCCTGAAAATATCGAACATTATTTAATTACATGCCCTGGCCATAACAACATAAGACATAATCTCAGAAGCGCTGTACTTGAGGTTGATGATGTATTTTCCTTAGAAACAGTTTTGGGCCCCAATATCATGTATGGGTCTGTGCAACGGGCAGTTTTAGATTTTGTCTCGTCATCTGGAAAATATGATGTAATCTAGACAGGCCCGCGAATGGCTTAGACAGATTTAGTTCTGTGGTTTTAAATCATTTTAACACTCTGTCATCTGAAACTACCGCTTTTTTAATGAATGAGTATTTCATGTTTCAGAAATGGAAGTGATTACTTAAGGTTTTTAATCCGTAACACAAAGCAGAGGTTATTCGATATATGTATACATCTATCCAAATTAATAGTGTTGTCGTTTCTTTTATCCTTACTAAACGGTTCCTTTGGGCGATGAAATTATGAAATTACCTATGTTCATTAAATCAAGTCAATGTGTTGGGCGCAAATAGGCCTCTTATTGGCCCACGTCGCCCTAAAACTATAAAACCAACCAACGTACAACAGGGTCAGCTAATGCCTCTTCTAACAACACATTTTCAAAACAAATCATTCCTGATTTTATTGTCACCCAATTCTGAGACCACCAACTTTAGCATGATTAATTCCTTCAATGGTTCCATGTGAACCCAATTAACTATATAAGGAGAAACAACATCTTTAATTACAAGATGAGGAGTGAATGAACATTCAAGTTATAGCACAGCGTATCTGCTCAATGTGGGAGGGAACCCCGAAGTGATGCAGGTCTCAGATGGTTAACGTTAAGTGATAAGAAGGGACGGACAGTATCGAAACAAACAGCAATATAATCATTGCGAACCGGGAAGTCTAGGTTCCGGATGTGATAGCTGCGCTTTGAAGACAGGGCATGTTCTGCCCTTTGTGTGATAAGGACACAACACAAAACATATTTAAACTATGAAACATAAATATACTTACCTATATACAGGGTTATGGTGAAATCTTTCCTTAGTAATACGCTTAGGATAACATCCATGCTTCTGTCGCTGAGTATGTTCCTTGATGACATGGGTATGTTCCTCGAACGACGTGCCGATGAATGAGACGCTATCCTGCAGGAGTTCGCTCATGCAGAACTCGTTGTTCATGAGGAAAGCTAAAGAACCGGGCGGGTAACCCCTAATGATGTCATCATCCAGTGTGTACGCATTCTCAGTAATAATCCATGCGAATTCTTGCTCTCCTAGCGACAGCTTTCTAGCTGCGCGAAATATCCTTCCGGCAAGCACAATGCCCGTGTGTAGCACAAATATCCTTGACGTATTGCCACGAAGTGAAGACAAAAAGTTTTCTATATTCTTGCTTGTGTTCATCGCTGGAGACATCCTATACACCTCCACATTCCACTTCTTTGCTTGAGTCTTCTCCCTAAGCACAGTATAGAAACCGTCGTCGGCGAGGTCTGTTTCCAGGAGGAATGTGAACCGGTACCAATAGTTCACCTGCATCATCTTGACCAGGCCAGAGGCCAGGTGGGTCTTGGACGGCAGCAGGTTCAGGTAGAGACTGCTGTGAATCTGCAACATTGAACACGGTGACGTAGTAGTACGTGGTTCAGGATAAATAATACACATCCAGAACACTATTTCTAACACACAACAAGATTATAGCATGCGTTTCCTACAGATTAAGTAGGATATAGATAACACTCACTTCTTGCACACTGGGTAGGACAAAATATATTGCTTTTGCCTTTTCAGACAGAAAATAACACCTTTCACACATTAAGTAGACACCAAGTAGACCATAACAAGTGTTGCTCACACGTCTAGTAGACCTTAACACGTGCTTCTTGTACGTCAATCAATATAACACGTGCTTCTCACACACCAAGTAGACCATAACAAGTGTTGCTCACACGTCTAGTAGACCTTAACACGTCCTTTTTGCACGTCAATCATAATATAACACGTACTTCTCACACACCAAATAGACCATTACAAGTGTTGCTCACACGTCTAGTAGACCATAACACGTGTTTCTTGCACGTCAATCATAATATAACACGTACTTCTCACACACAAAGTAGACCATTACAAATGTTGCTCACACGTCTAGTAGACCATAACACGTGCTTCTTGCACGTCAATCATAATATAACAAGTGCTTCTCACACACCAAGTAGACCATACCAAGTGTTGCTCACACGTCTAGTAGACCATAACACGTGCTTCTTGCGGGCAAATCAAATTATAACACGTGCTTCTTTTACTTCAACCAAACCTTAAGCATAACACGCGATTCGTGCCCATCAATCACACGCTATATACTTTGTCACACACAAAAATATGGCTTCCTGGCTAACAATATCGTGCACGGCCTGTTATAAATTTAGATCACTACAATCAAATCAGTATGGATATTCTCGAAGAATATGTCATTAACTCACAAACTGTATAAAAAAATAGAACAGGAACCTGTCTGTCCCTGAGAGTTGTCATCAAAGGTCTGACAGCAATGCATGAAACTATGTAGTTTTTCCCAAAGACGAGGATTTTATTTTAAAAAACCTAGCACTATCGACATTTTGCTTGAATCTAAAACCATAAGGCATAGCCATTCTTTCATATCAAACTGGATTCCAAAACATCGTAAAAGTCTGTATAAAGAAGCATTCATCGACATCGACATCGACATAGACATCGACAGTCATTTTGTAAATCAAACCCGCTATTACTCTGTCAAAGTGAAGCATTTTGATATTCAGTGGTGTATTCATTTGTGACAAATTGGCGAGGATGGGTATGTGTAAGTTTACACAGTAAGCATATTTCTTTACAAGGAACTTTCAATGCCCTTATACTGCCGCTACAATATATTGCCGCCCCACTACCACCTGCAATGTCCCATGTTAGCGGATGCTGTCACTGCAGACAAACCAGTTGTATATCGTTGTGTTTCTGTTGGATATGATCCACAAAAAGAAATACTTTTCAACACACGAGCGACCGCCAATAGTCCATAGCACCGACATTGTCTGTAACCTATATATACACCGATTATAGTCTCTAACCTACATCTCAACTGACAATAGTCTCTAACTTACTCCTATGCATAAAATAGTCTCTAACCTACACCTACACTGACAATAGTCTTAACCTACACCTACACTGACAATAGTCTCTAACTTACTCCTATGCATAAAATAGTCTCTAACCTACACCTACACTGACAATAGTCTTAACTTACACCTACACTGACAATAGTCTCTAACTTAAACCTATGCTGGCAATAGTCTCTAACCTACACCTACACTGACAATAGTCTCTATCTTACTCCTATACCGAAAATAGTCTCTAAACTAAACCTACGCTGGCAATAGTCTCTAACCTACACTTACAATAGTCTCTAACCTACACCTACTCTGACAATAGTATCTAACCTACACCTACACTGACAATACTCTCTAATCTACACCTACACTGACAACTGTCTCTAACCTACACCTACACTGACAATAGTCTCTAACCTACACATGCCACTGACAATAGTCTCTAACTTACACCTACACTTACAATAGTCTCTAAACGAAACCTACACTGGCAATAGTCTCTAACCTACACCTACACTGACAACAGTCTCTAACCTACACCTACACTGACAATAGTCTCTAACCTACACATGCCACTGACAATAGTCTCTAACCTACACCTACACTGACAGTAGTCTCTAACCTACACCTACACTGACAATAGTCTCTAACCTACACCTCCACTGACAATAGTCTCCAACCTACACCTACACTGACAACAGTCTCTAACCTACACCTACACTGACAATAGTCTCTAACCTACACATGCCACTGACAATAGTCTCTAACCTACACCTACACTGACAATAGTCTCTAACCCTACACTTACAATAGTCTCTAACCTACACCTACACTGACAACTGTCTCTAACCTACACCTACACTGACAATAGTCTCTAACCTACACCTACACTGACAACAGTCTCTTACCTACACATGCCACTGACAATAGTCTCCAACCTACACCTACACTTACAATAGTCTCTAACACCTACACCTACACTGACAATAGTCCCTAACCTACACCTACACTGGCAACTGTCTCTAACCTACTCCCATACCGAAAATAGTCTCTAACCTACACCTTCTCCGACAATAGTCTCTTACCTACACATGCTCATGACAATAGTCTCTAACCTACACCTACACTGACAATAGTCTCTAACCTACACCTACACTGACAATATTCTCTAACCTACACCTACACTGACCCTACACTATCCAATCCTACGTTTATTGTTCACGCCCTCAAAAAAGTACAATCTCTTACTCTCGCCAGCATCCAACTAGTGATCTGTTCACTCTTGTCCCGTCAGTGGTCTGTTAACCCATTTTTCCACCGTCAGTTGTTTCCAGACATTTTTACATTGCAAAATAGTCTCCAACACCAGCTGTAATCCGACCATCCTGTTAGAGATTTGTCCTAATCTTCTCTCCTCAATGTGTCAACAAACGATAGTGGTTTTCGTGTATCAAATATTTATATATCACGCTGGGTTCATTCAGATTAATCGCAAACGAATGTCAGACCAGGGGAATCATTATACTGAGTTCGATTGAAAAGGCCGATCAGTTGTACAGCGTGTACAATCTAGAAAGAACACCACGCAGCTATCAGTTTCCCCCATTTAAAATTGATTAGACCCACAGTGGCCGTTGTAGCGGAGAAAGTGTCCGATTATGTGTCTCCGTTGTACAAGGATACAGTTATGGTGGTAAATTACAAATGAAAAGCAAATCATTGTCAGTCACCAGAAGCCAGCAAGGTTAATCTGGACACACAAGAGATCCGGACACAGCTAGAAACTCCACCCACAGCAGTCTCAACCTGCATGTATCTGTGACAATGTTGTACCTGCAAGTGTAGTATGTATAACTGTGAATATGTTGATCTTTTATGTGTATCTGTGCCAATGTTGTACTTGCAAGTGTATCTGTGACAATGTTGTGCTTGCAAGTATATCTGTGACAATGTTGTACTTGCAAGTATATCTGTGACAATGTTGTACTTGCAAGTATATCTGTGACAATGTTGTACTTGCAAGTATATCTGTGACAATGTTGTACTTGCAAGTATATCTGTGACAATGTTGTACTTGCAAGTATATCTGTCACAATGTTGATCTTGCAAGTGTATCTGTGACAATGTTGTACTTGCAAGTGTATCTGTGACAATGTTGTACTTGCAAGTATATCTGTGACAATGTTGTACTTGCAAGTGTATCTGTGACAATGCTGATCTTGCATGTATGGATGTGACAATGCTGATCTTGTATGTATATCTGTGACAATGTTGAACTTGTATGTATATCTGTGGCAATGTTGTACTTGTAAGTATACCTGTAACAATGTTGAACTTGTATGTATATCTGTAACAATGTTGAACTAGCAAATATGTCTGTGTCAATACTTGTAGGTATATCTGTCACAATGCTGATCTTGTATGCATATCTGTGACAATGTTGTACTTGCAAGTATATCTGAGGCACCATCTAAACGAGTAGGCATTTACATGACAATGTTTCAACATGCAAGTATATGTGTGATAATGTCCGACCCTGCTATAATACAATGTCCGGACCTCCAAGTATATGTGTGATAATGTCCGACCCTGCTATAATACAATGTCCGGACCTCCAAGTATATGTGTGATAATGTCCGAACCTGCTATAATACAATGTCCGGACCTCCAAGTATATGTGTGATAATGTCCGAACCTGCTATAATACAATGTCCGGACCTCCAAATACAATGTCCGGATATATGTGTGATAATGTGTGTCCGGACCTCCATATATGTCCGACCCTGCTATAATACAATGTCCGGACCTCCAATGTCCGGACCTCCAAGTATATGTGTGATAATGTCCGACCCTGCTATAATACAATCCGAACCTGTGTGATAATGTCCGATAATACAAATGTCCGGACCTCCAACTATATGTGTGATAATGTCCGCTAACCCAACTATGTGTGATAATGTCAATAATCAATGTCCGGACCTCCAACTATATGTGTGATAATGTCCGAACCTGCTATAATACAATGTCCGGACCTCCAACTATATGTGTGATAATGTCCGAACCTGCTATATGTGTGTGATAATGTCCGACCCTGCTATAATACAATGTCTGGACCTCCAACTATATGTGTATAATGTCCGACCCTGATAATGTCCGACCTCCTGCTATAATGTGTGATAATGTCCGAACCTCAATAATACAATGTCTGGACCTCCAAGTATATGTGTGATAATGTCCGAACCTGCTATAATACAATGTCTGGACCTCCAAGTATATGTGTGATAATGTCCGACCCTGCTATAATACAATGTCTGGACCTCCAAGTATATGTGTGATAATGTCCGAACCTGCTATAATACAATGTCTGGACCTCCAAGTATATGTGTGATAATGTCCGACCCTGCTATAAATACAATGTGTGATAATGTCCGACCCTGCTATAATACAATGTCTGGACCTCCAAGT